ATCAATAAGTGACTGAAATCAAAAAGTCTACAATTTTAAATATAGGATAATTTTAAGGCATTCATCATTAAATCAAGTGAAATTACTTTATACCTTGAATAGACATAGGTTGCCGAATGTTCTTTTTTTTGGTAAATTCAAGATTTTCGTCATTCGGAAAGTTGGGTAATTTTGTATGGAAAAATACATAATTGAAAGAAACATATCCTTTTAACTCTAAAACTTGTTGAAAAATTATATCTTGATTGATTATTTCACGCGTGAAAAATCTACATTTAATATAAATAATACAATAAGTTATAGTTTACAGAGGTCTATTAAAAAAAAAAAATGTTATTCTAAAACAAAAATTTAAAGATTAACAGAAAAGAAACAGATTTAGAAAAATAAAAGAAATATTTTTTCGAATCTAAAGTCTTACTGAAAGTTCTAAAAATTTTTTTCATTAATTTCTTTTCAATGCACATACCATATTATAGTATCAAAATGAACACTGATTATAATTCATTTCCACGTGTAATTTAAATCTTAGATTTACATTTATTTTTGTTTTCAAATTTGTTTTCTGTATTAATTATTTTATAGGGGGCTACTTTTTTACCCTAGTGAAAACATTTAGCAGTCATTTTTTGAAAAGAAAAAAAATAAATTCTGGTTATCTTATTTTAGTTATTTTACACAAAACTAATAAACACACAAGTAAAACACAAATTAATATAATAATGAAGTATTGCATATGTACGTTGCTTGATTGAATTTTATTGAAAAAAGTAATTTACAACGATGAAGGTAATAGATAAATATTACTTTTTCTGAATAGACTTTATAAAAAATTTGATTTCCCTGACACAATATTATTTCATGAAATGTGCTAAAATTTCTACTCTATATTTATAAGCCGGAAAAATGTGTAAGAACTTAAACAAGACCACAATTCAATGATAAAATATTTATTATTCGATAATCTGTTTATCGATGTGGTGAAGTCATACGAAATAGATTTTATTTTTTGGCATAACTTGTCCATATATTACGTTTAAGGAAGTTGATCGTATCTCAAAAGTAGAATTGGCAAAAGCAATTACAACAAAAAAATTTATTTTAAATCTTTTTAATTTTAGAAAATAAACGAAAAAAAATTCCTGCAAAGCTTGCAGTTTGTTTGAGGTATTCAGGTATTCTGTAAGAACATTTTTTTTTTTTTTTAACAATAAAATCATACGGAAAACTAACGTTTTTCAACTTTTAACACTGACAGTCTCACCTACTCTACAAAAAATTTTTTAGAGCGATAATAAATATTAAAATATTTCTTTTTTCCTTAAGGTTCATTTATTAGATACTAAATTATCAAGGTAAAAACAATTCCAGGTATTGAAGATTTTCTTTAATGTTTTATACACCAAGCATATTGTAGATGACATACTTAGCTGAATCATGTCCTAATAAACTTCCTTGATTTGAAATTCACCTTAGAGTTTTTGATCGTATACTTACAAGAAAATTTCGCAGGCTATTATTAATTAAAGCCCACACAATCGCATCTAAAAATAGAGTGGATTAAGTGAAAACATTTGTTTTGAAAATCTTCGTAAGGTAAGTATCACGAATAATTTATTTTTTTTTAACTTGAATAATATGATGTACTCGAGCAAAAAACAAATTTGAAATTTCAATGATTCAATGATTTCGCAAAATTATCATTTTTTTTTTTTTTTTTTTTTTTTTCCATAATTTTTGTACTTATTCGAAAGGACTTGGAATAATGCGCTTCCATAATATATTGAGTCAATAAGCAAACTTTCAATATTAATATTTAATCCACGATGATCATTTTAACGCTTCGCCTGTGTTATACAACCCACATATGGGTCATAAGAAATAACTTACGCAGACATACATATGCGTAACGTCAAAATCAATTGTTGGAAAATTAGGTTCTACATGTCATATTATATTCGTATTATTGCTGCAGTCAAAAAATTCGTCAATGAAAGAAGCGTCAATTTATTGCCCTACTGGGAATTATTATTATTTTTTTTTTTCCCTGAACTTGTGCGCATCATTACAAAAGTGAGCTGTCTTTTGGGCAGGTGATATTCAGAAAACCTTGACAATACGGCGGTCTGTATATTTATACCTAATAACATCACGTTACATGCCCACAACTCTGTTAAATTGTTTCAACACATGTCAAAACGAATAAATAATTATTTATACTTTTTTAATTTACCCACTTAGGTATTAACAAACGCCTGTACAACATATTTTTTAATGGACTGGGGCATCGGTGGTGTGTTTCATACATTTGTATTTTTTTTATTTATGCTTCAACGCATTTACAAATATATGTATTTCAAGTATTTTGAGTTACTGCCGATGCTCGATGAGTCTGCTTTTTGGCTCCATTAAATTCTCATACAGTTTGTTTGGCGCAATTACAAAAAAGCACGTGTCGTGTAGTTTTGGGGTCCTGCATATAGCCACTGATTATTGAAAATGCTTGACTCTACAGTATTGTAAAACAGCGTATGAAATGATGATAATTACACTCCTAAAAATGTAATTCAGGAATTCTTTTTCTACACTCGCCGCTTAAGTGATCACGATTCATTGGTGTTTGTATAATATTTAGCACTTTCAAGAGAATTCGTTTTTAAACATTTTTAATGATCAACTAACAAATACCAAAAGAGGATTTGCTAAGACGAACATTTCACATTACATTCGTGGGACTCCCGAAAAATTGGAATGCTGTATTGTTTTAGTTCTATTTTCGTTTAAATGGTGTATAATTGTAGTTTAATCATAATTTATTCGATTCTGTAAAAAAATTCTAGAAAAAAAGTTTTGCGTAGTGAAAAGTTACTTTTTTAATGCCATGTTACGCAAATAATACTTTTTGTTCTCAAATCGAGATTTTTTATCGCCAACGAGCAGTGATTTTTATATTTATGGGGAAACAAAAGAGTAAAATTTCTGATGTTAAATCAGATGTAGGTAATCTTTGAACTATGTTCTTTATCTTTTTTTTTTCAATTGCCATAAAAGTTTTTACATGCAATTTGAATATTCGGTGTGAAATTAAAAAGCAATGATAGGTTTATTATTAGTAATGATGAATTTAGATTGAAGGAGAATGACAAAAAAAATAATGCTGGAGACAGAAATTAATTTAAATTTGTTATTTATTACTACTTAAACAGTAACATAAAGAATCTATGAAATAGTGCTATGAAAAAAAAAAAAATTAACTCATTTGTGTCTTCAATAAGGAAGAAATAATCGAAATACTTGATGGACGAAACTAAAAGAAAGTGAGGTTTAAAAAATTCAAAGTATTCTGTTACACTTATATATATTAATTATAAAAGTTATACATTGAGGTGAACAAAAAAAAATAAAAAATTTACAAAGAACATTAAAAAAAAGTTGGTTCAGCCTTGGTAGGCATTTTATTTTTCTTTGAGTCTACTTGGTACCAGAAGAAATATGTTCTGCCACTTATTCAACAATCGAGTTATTAATAACATCTTTCTCCTTTTCTTTTCAACGTATTGTATACATGATGGTGTTTATCCCAAATATTTATTACAATTAAACTACAATTATCTAGAAACTCCCAACGTTTGATCAATTACTTCATACCCATATTTGAAAATTCATTAAAATTTAATCAATCTCGAGAAAGCCACACTTTGGAGCTTACGTTAGTCACTACGATACACATAAAATAATAATTAGAGCTAGAAAAATGAAATGTAAAATGTATCGTCGTACCACGGCATGTAGAAATTTTTCTCGTAGAAGGTTCACTACGTTCTTTTACGTACACTACATCTATATTGCATACGACGAAAGGGTATTTTTTTAGATTGCAAGTGACGGAATAGTAACATAAAAGTAGAAAACTGTTTTTCAGGTGTCTTGTGGCTTGGAATAGCAATATGATATTGAGAGAGTCGCACCTTGGCACAGGTTTTCCTTTTCCGATTTACAAGGAAAACTGCACAGCTATTAACTTATGTTAAGGACGTTGCAGATTGTATTTGCTTGTTTTCCAAAAAGTCGCAAGGAAATAAGGATTAAAAAGTCAAGGAGCTCTCGCACAGTTGCGCACAAGAAAAAATAATTGACCACTTAACGTAAACAAAAATAAAGTGGAAGCTATAAAAAAATAACCTTAAATATCCAACTAAATTTTATTGAAGGATACGTGATTTTGTAAAAAAAAAATCAGGGTAACATTATTACTAAATCAAAATTATTCGAGTGATTCATAGTAAGGTAGAGCAAGACAATAAAATTAACATAAAAACGCAAAGTAGTCTTGCACTATAAATTTCGTTTGCGAGTTTGCTCAGTGTCCATCTAAATGTTTTCATATAGACTCACAAATTTTTTGACGCATAAGTTTTCGTGCAAGTAAAATGTGTCAAAACAAAAAATCGGCCTTTACAGGCAATCTTTGAATATCTTGAGAATATTTGTCGTCTTACGGGATTTTTTAATATTCTATTTTCATTGTCTTCCCTTTAATTTCTATTTATTCACCCCGATCGTACTACGAATCTACTTTACAATAAATGACAACTATACAAAAGCCCTCTAAAATTTTCAAACCTCGTTTTCTCTTAGCTTTCATTGCGCATTGTACATATTATATATAAATTATTGGGCTTACTCAATGGTACCACGATATATCTATATAAGCGCAGATAATTAAACATACAATTACAGAAGCTTTTCATTCATTGAATAAATATCAACGTCAACATGTCTCACGCTTCGTTCTTTGTTATTTAATAAAAATTTTTAGTCTAAATACATTTGACGATGATTTATCAATTGCCCAAAACTCTAAAAAAAAAAGAGACAAGAATAATCAAAATCACAATGATTTATCTTCCGGAATTCATTTTTGTATTATACATCATTGTTTTTATGGATGGCGTCGCACAGGTGGTTTATCAATATACTTTGTTTTTTTTCCAATGCTCTTTTTTTTCTTGGTTTCAATGTTTTTTCTTTATTAAATTTTAATGAATGTACCAGTAGCAGTAGTTTCAATTACTCTTTCTTACAAGGATCCAAGAGTCGTAAAGGAGATGCTGGTTGTGTCGTTGGTGGGTGGTGGTGGTGGGTGACAGAGGACATGCAGGGTCGTAGTTCTTGGAGGAGAGAGAGAGAGAGAGTAGTAGTAGTAGAGAGGGCTTAACAGCCCAAGTATCGCGTTCGTGCGGTGGTCGCGCGGGCGTTTCACTTCTTTTTGTTTTTGTTGTTGGCGCCACGCGGCGGCGTGACCGGTCGGCCAGCGTTGAGGCCGCCGTACGTGAATTTCCTCTTATCGGCCGGTTTCAGGATCTGGAAGCTGCACATTAGCGTCTCGTCCACAGACATCATGGCACCCGCGTTGTCAAACTCGCCGCAGTAGTTTGGCGCCGAGAACAACGTCACGAGCTGTCGTTTCGCGAAGAACTCGTAGCCGTCTTCGACCACCTGCAAAAAAATTCAAGCGTGTTTTTATAGTTGGTTCAGAGAACAACGTGATGGCTTCAGCTCCGGCGTACGCGGACGAGACTTATTGTCGAGTATCCAATTTTTAAATCTTGACAGACTTCCAATCGGCTCTTAACGCGCGCGCCGAGGTTGCGGATGAGAATATAGCCTCGTATTTTTGGCCCAACAACATCATGTGATAAGCTTCAAGTATTTTAGCATGACCGAACAGTAACGTGATCAATTTCAGAGCTATATTCAAGTCTTTTTACTCCAATTTAAGTTCTACATTTGAAATTTGTACAGTTAAAGCGCTTTGCATTACATTTTTTATTTGTTTATTGCTACAAGTCACCTCATGATAACAGGCATTCTGATAAGATAGCTCGGAAAGCATTTACGCAACAGCATGAATAATTTTAATCTCCAAGTTCAGTAATCACTGTTAAATTGAACCTCGTGTTAAAAGATGGCTCTTGGAGACTAAAAAAAGCTGAATATGTAGAATGAAACATAATCGGACGTGTTGTTTACCTGATGCGCACGACAAATGAGGTCGAAATCATGCTTGTGAAGGAATTTAGCGACGACCTCGGCGCCAAATGTGAACGAGACACCGCGGTCGTTCTCGCCCCAACCCATCGTGTCCTTGTCTGGATCGGACCAAAGGAGATCGCAAAGCAGGCCTTGATCGGGCACGTCGGTGGGCCGCATGATACGCCTGATCTGTTCCATACTCTGGAGATCGGGACTCAAGCCACCGTGGCAGCAGAAAATCTTTTCGTCGACGATCGCCGCTACTGGTAGGCAGTTGAAGCAGTCTGTGAAAGTTTTCCACAGCTTTATGTTGTAGCGGCGCTTGCCTGAAAACAATCACGATTTCCAACTTTGTTACTTCATTCAATTGAGATTCATTTGACAATTCCGCAAATGGCTTGAGAGTCTTGGGAATACTTTCAATATTTTTGGTCAAATGAAAGTGTACTACAAGCAATGATTTAAAGAAAATTTAGTCGTTTGAGAAAAACTCTTTAATTATTGGTGTGTCAAAAAGATTGAAAAAAAATCGTAAATTAAAAAGTACTGTTGAAAAAAAAAAGAAAAAAAAAATTATTGAAAAGGGGCCTTACATTCATCATAAAATCCATATATCCTGTTGATGGAGGCGCACTCGTGATTTCCTCTGAGCAGGAAGAAATTCTCCGGGTACTTGATCTTGTAAGCGAGAAGGAGACAAATCGTCTCTAACGACTGCTTTCCTCTGTCGACGTAATCGCCCAGAAAGAGGTAATTGCTCTCTGGCGGGAATCCACCGTACTCGAACAGCCGCAGCAGATCGTAATATTGTCCATGAATGTCACCTGTAAACACACAACGAATGCTATTACGTTGCACGCTTGGGCATTTGTAGAGCTGCAACTGGTGTCAGAAAGCAGTTGGCCCTATTTTCGCAATTAACATAGTTGAGTATTATTTCATCGGCTTGAGACGTAAGTCGTAGTGAGTATGAATTTCATTGGAAACAAGACAAAGTAAAGAATAATTAATTTAATCATTAACGAAATCTTACCGCATATCTTCAGGGGTGCCTCAAGCTCCAAAAGGATGGGCTGTGATAGAAAAATTTCACGGGACTTGAGGCATAAGCCTCGAATTTCTGTCTCTGTCAGCTGAACATTTTTGCCTGGTCGCGCTCCTCGGACTGAAATTGAGAATGAAAACACGTTATAAGAATGCATATGTATTGGTCGTTCAGAAATAAAGTTGTGAAAATAAATGACATGGTTTTTATGTGCATTTGTTCATTGACCCGAATAGAGGGAATTTATTATTTTAACACAAACACTGAAACAGTTTTTGCTTTTTAAAGACTTTCTTGAAATTAAAATCTAAATAAATACGTTGTTAAATGAATTAAATAATTTACTGTTCCATTTCAATAGCAAGGCATCGAAAACCATTTTTTATAATACATCAATTACTGCTTGTAAAACGTCAACAGCATGAGTATTTTATACGAATTATCTATTTCATGCGAAATAAACACATATACAAAACGAAAACATTCATCATTTGACTTCGTAAAAATGTAGGAAAAAGAGATAAGGAAATGTTGTATGTAACAGAGTATGAAAAAACAAGTAGAATACAATGAATATGAAGAAAAATTAGCAGATGATAATGAAGTATGTTGTGAAAAATATTAATTAAGTATCTTTAGAGTACAAACAAACCTTATTGTTGAAACTCTTACAATATTTCAAAAGCTTTCTCAATCTGCGTTTCTGAGTCACCAATAAATCAATGAAGCGGGGCAATTTATGTTTGGTGGAAAATATGGATACTGATTTTTTTCTGAACATGCATGAAGTGGATGTTTCAGGGAATAAATATTTTATAATTGAAAGTTTTTAATCTCATGACTCTTTTTGTCACGTCATAATTACTGCATAGAAATATGATACTTCAATAAAATAGATGTCTTGGAGTCAGTGGTGGCATGCTCCATTTCGACTATTACATCACTACTTCGCATTCGTTGCTCTATTCAATCCAATTCTTTCATATACAAATTCAAAGATGCATTGAATTTCTTTACAGAATGTTTACTCATAGTTGAGACATTGCTCTGTGTATGAAAATTTCAACAACAAATTTTAAAACCAAAATTTGATTCAAATTCGACCTTCAAAATTTTCAAGACAATAAGAAGTGTACATAATACTTTTATGAAAATGATTGTATTGTATTTTTTTCACTTTGACACCAGAGCTATAGCACTGTCAAAAGCTAAATATTCTGCAATTTTTCTATCGTTATCGACATTTATTTTTTGTATAGTCTCACACAATTTTCCTTCAACTAGCTGAAACTGGATCTATAATTGCGAGACTGAGTAGAGAAACTGTAATCAAATGAATCAGAAATAAACACACACGAATATTCAAGATTTACCCTGCCTCTCTCTTTCCCAGGCATTCCCTAGAAAGCATCATCAGCGACATACATGGGCAATGTAAACAAACTCAAAAGCCTACGCATCACAAATAGATACATATAAACAAAAGTCCTCAACAGACGTCAGCCATCATCAATGTACACCTATACGTTAATCGTTACGAGAGATCTCATCGCATCGAAGTGCCAGTGCCAACGAGAGCCCAAAACCCTCTTTTCGTATCACACACTCAGCTCGGGTGGATGACTCGTCCGCCTAATAATATATGTGACCCACCCCCTTGTAGGCAATACTTGTGTTGAAAAAATTGCGTAATTGGCCCAACCGTGCGCCCATACCCAATTATTCATCGAAAATTCACTTGAAACGAGTAATTGTGAGTAAAAGCGTCTCGCAGGGAGGGCCACTGTACCCCTGACACGTTTGACCCCTTAATTGTAGTAAGCTAAACACAGACGTGGGTATACCTGTGGCATGAAATGATAGGCATTTTATGTACGAGGAAAAATCGGAATGATATAAATTTAAGTTCGGAGAGCGTCATGTATTTGCTCATACCATGTATATGCGGTACGTAGAATACAATATAACAATACACACGAGGGACATCATCAAAACGGAGCGCGAATAAACGAGACGAGCGAGACAGAGGGCGACATGATGATGAGTTTCATGCACACACTCTTAAAAGATGGAGAGCTCTCAAGAAGGGCAGAGAGAGAGAGAGGAGCGTGGAGAGCGAGAGGAAAGAGGGAGGGAGAGAGAATTGGAGTTCTTTGGATAGTTCACCGTATTCTGGTAGGCGTAGGTGGAAAAACCGTCGCTGTAATCAGATGCTTCTTCATTTTACTCCCTCGAAAATACCGCGGATACGTTTTCCCCCGTAAAAAAAAAAGCTCACGTACACAGAGATATACGAACGAAGAGGTTAGGAGCGAAATTCAAGGAGACGATTCACACACTCGTATATACACAACGGAAAAGAGGAGCCCCACGGAATGAATGAGAACAATCGGATGATCCTTACCTTCCAAGAGCCGCGCTATAATGGTGTCGATGTTGAGTTTGTCGGTTTCAGACATCGGACCGGTCCGCCGTTGGTTGGCTGCTCGTGGATGATGCGCGTCGTTGTCGTACAGTCCCTAAGACTCTATATGTATCTATGTATGTGTCTCCCCTTGAGCGTGCGCGTGTGTATGTGGGTGAGCACCAGGTCTTGGCTTTCGATGATAAAGTATAGATCCTCGTGGAGACGATGCGTAAGAGATAGAGAGCGCGTCCTGGGAAGCGACGATGGACGATTGATGAATGGGTATATGTTTAAGGACGACACACGACGATGCGCCTTCAACGGATTAGCTGCGTGTACTTATTGATGGAAAATACACACGTTCGCGCACACTTGCAGGATAACGCCTCGATGAGGTTGATGGGCTTTTAATATACAGTTTTGATGTGTTTATTGGATTTGTCGAGTGTTTTCGTACACGCACTTTGCCTTGGCTTCTTGCTGTACACTCGCACACCCGCGTCCCGCACCGCACCACACGTCCACACACTACACGGATGGTCACCAGATGGTCACAAACCCCACGCACGACGTCAACGAGACAGGCTACCACTCAAGGAGACGGCGGCGGCGGCACTGCTGAATTCTCTCTCTCTCTACTACTCTCTCTCTCTCTCTCTGGGACTGTATAGGGACACTAGATCTACTTGCCAGAGAGTTGGCAAACTAGGGAAAAAAATTAGGTACTTGTTCAAAGGATACTGCACGTCTGTCGAGCCCAATTATGTTGAGCAATAACATCCAAAATTTTACATTGATTATTCATACTCAAGTTTGTTAATAATGAATAGGTAATGACCAAGTGGATAATGCAGGTTTCGGTTGGTTGGTTTTTTAATGATTGTACAGTGTGACCACACCATACACTCACCGATGAGGACATGTTTTTCGTAAAGAAAATAAATGTGTATCAAAGAATTGTTATAAAGTTAAAAAGTATTGTGATACGAATCAAATGTGTTGCCAATAACCTGAATTTTCTGTAACTAATGTTTTTATTTAAATTTAAAAAACACTTTTCAAAAGTTGTGCAAACATTTTCTAGGGAATTGCTAGTGTTTGTGGTTTTGGTCAACGTGTCGAGAGCACACTAGAATCAGTGCGGGAAATTCAAATGTTAAGAATGATTTGTCTGAACTTTTAATAAAAGTAAAATAATAACATAAGCAGTTATAACTTAAACAATCGCCTCTCAAAGTAATAAATGTTTATGGTTAATTTTAATTTTATGATTATTATTTTTGGTAAAACAGTTAAAGTATTTGGAATTTCCTGCTCTACGAATAAAACTTTTGTTGCGATAGCGCCCTTATGAATTACAAGCCATACAAACTGTGGCCATACCCATTATACCCAATACAAAAATCGACTTCCACATTGTACATTCGTTTACTTATATAATTCAAACTTATATTTTATATCAAAACAATTCAATTTTTGTAAAATGTCAAAAACTGATTATTCGTGTACTTTGAAAATTGTCCAAGTGACTCTGGGAGAAACGAAGCGTCTCATGAAAATGTGCCTTGATTAAAACCATATGAGGCATGAACTGAACCGTTGAACAGAACCTGCAAGCCAGTGGTGTAGATGTGAATTTAACTGTTTGTCTCTCTCTGCGCGTGTCCAACTATCCACCTATTGTTTTTTTTTCCATTACGGTATACACGAACTACGAAGCTTGCAATATATGACCACATAATATTTACTTGTTCAAAAACTTTTTCTACTTCCTCCACCTTCGCAGTGTTTGTTTATCGCCAACATGCCCGAACTTGGATTAGGAGTGAGTACTCGTTTGTGTAAAATTTTCGTTCAGTAAACTATTAATCTTATCCCTTGGTGGTGGGACTTTTCAATTGTGTATATGCTCAGCAGTTGGGTTAAGAAAATCTTTTTGTTTTGGTGTATTCCTATTTGGATACATTTTTTGGTTATTGGACAGACAAATTTCGTGATGCATTTGACTTGTATTATAAATGACTGAGCACTTTTAAGTATCGTCAATCAAGTATACCTAACAGTTCAGTTTTTTTTTTAATTCTATGATAGTGATCAATCACTTGAATGATATTTAATTGTAAAATACTGAATTTGTGCTATAGGCGGATAACCATACTGAAAATGGAAGTGCAGAAGATGGTATTGTCCTGGGAGAGTCTCCACCTGGCTCTCCCCAAGTTTATTTCGAGCCAGTGGTACAACTACCATTGGTCGACGTCTCCACAAACGAAGAGGAAGAAGTAGAAATGATCAAAATGTAATTTCTGATTGCTTAAATATTTGTTTTTTTGCTAAAATCTACTTTTACAAGACCATCTTTCATTCCTTGCAGGAGAGCAAAGCTGTATCGTTACGACACATCAGATAGCCCAGCAGAATGGAAAGAAAGAGGAACTGGAGAAGTGAAGCTTCTGAGACACAAAATCAAAAATACCGTGAGAGTTGTCATGCGTAGAGATAAAACATTGAAGTTGTGTGCAAATCATTTTGTCTGGCCGTGGATGGAACTAAACCCTAATTGTGGCAGTGATCGTGCTTGGGTTTGGAGTGCCCTGGCTGACTTTGCTGATGAACAACCAAAGCCACAACTGCTGGCCATTAGATTCGCTAATTCTGAAAGTAAGTACATTTTTATTCTCATTCCACGATAAGCTTATTTCTCTTTGAATAAAAAAAAAAAAAAAAAAAAAAAAAAAAAAAAAAAAAAAAAATGGATTGTGCTTCTAGATGCATGCCTGTGGAAAGAAGCTTTTGATAAGGCAAAAAGAATTGTAGAAACAGAGTGTGAGGCTTACTCTGGTAAACCGGATTCGGAAGATGAAAGCGACTCTGACTGCTCCGAAGATGAGGAAGCTAAGGTTGACAATAAGGATAAAGAAACTGCTGCGGAAGACAAACATTCCGAAGAACAGAGCAAGGAAATAGTTGAAGTAGAAAAAGCTACGAATGAAGTTACAACAGATCTTGAAAAACTGAAGGTTAAAGAGGAAGAGTAAGCATGTTTTTAATTTTTAAGTAAGTAATACTGTTAAATAGTACTGAAAGAGAGAAAGAGAGATAGTGTGAGAGTTTTTGTTGGAATAAGTACATTCCTGCCATGTGCACAAGCATTGAATAGTGATGATGTGAAGTTGATATGAGATGTTTGCATTTTTAAGGGTACGAGTGAAATGGAACGAATTTTTTTTCATTCATCTTTTTTTTTATTTTTTTTAAATCCCCAGTTAGTAACAATCGTGAACATGCTTTTTTCTTTTATTACTTACTTGTCTATTTAATGATATTTATGACAATTATTGTACATTATATCTGTGATTTTTAAAAGTAAATGCAGTATGAAGAAAAAATGGATTTTGTCTGGCTAGTTGTCGATGACTTTCAAAGTCTTATGTTTGTAAGTGGTATAATGTAAATGAAAATAAATATGATATACTTTGTAGACTGTGGTATTTTGCTTACACAAGGATCCTATTTTTATGTGTTCAAAATTTTCTACTAACTTGTTTAGAAACTTTGATTGTACATCATGAAATAATGTGTTCATATTTCTTTCACATACCGAAACTTAATGCTAAACGTCTGTTTAACTCACATTGAGTTTTTAAAAAATTTGAGCGCTTTTAATTATATGTAAAATTCAAACAATACATTTATATTTGAAAAACTTGTGTTATTGCACTCTGTACATTTGTTATTTTCTGTTTTTCCCTGTAAATACGACAACACTTATGACTCAATCCACAAAATCTACCAACTAATTCAAACGCCAACTCGAGTGAAAATAGTGCAGTTCATTCCCTTTTCTATAAATTACAACTCATCACGGAACATGAACGACTGCAAAATATTTCTTCTTTCTTCCATTGTTTTCTTCTTTTCGACCGACAGCTTTCCTTTCAGCAAATTCTCGAGTCTCGTCTGTTCGGTTTGTACAAATACGTCTCCTTTTTCTAATATCTTAGCCATCAATTTTATGTAAACCTTTGCCGCTTCTCGGTGCTCTTCTGGTAAAGTTTCTTCAAAGAGTTTCGCTTTGTTAAAGATTTCCTGAAACAGATACCATTTTGTTTTATTAAACTACTTATTTTAATAACTACGTGAACCTTGCGAAAGTAAGATTTGGAATGAGATTTTTAAACATTTCTCTTAGTCCAAAAACTAAAAGTACAGTGAGTATCCATTAATCCCTTAAGTAAAGAAAATGTTGCTTTGATCATTAATGTCCGACATAATAAATAATTCAATTTTTTGTAGCTTTTTAATTATTTAATTACTTAAGTTCATTTTTATTAAAATAACCACGGTAGTAAATCTCTCCAATGCTAACTTATTAAATATCTCCAGTCAACACTTGAAAAAAAAAATGTCACAGAGCTAATACGTAGATAATAAGCGATACTCTCCCGTTTTGGCAAAGTTCATGAAAAGTCAAGAGCTAATGTTTGGTTTGTCAGAAAAAAATGTAACCATCAAGATAAGATAAGATTAAGTTAAAATCAACAAGTTTTGTTTTTTTTTTTTAATCAACACTGTTCCTCTAGTAAGTGAAGAGCAAAATTTCGTCAGAGGCTCAAACGAGCCATTTGATTGAGGACATTGATGTAAATAATTTTTTTTAATGCAAAAAAAAAGAAATAACTGCAGGAAAAACAATGAACCAACGGGAAAATTAACACGACCTAAAAGACTCAAGCAACGATGATCTAAACAAAACTAAAGCGTAAAGAAGCTACTTGGCAATTACTCATAACTTGGTTGAATTACCACAGTACTGTTAGCTCCATCCAGCCATTTAAACCATATTGTAAAAAAAAATAATAACCACACATTGTACCCTTGGATATGAAACGATGATCAAACAGGTGCACCCGAACTTGGACTCCACAAGAGCTGTGGGACAAAAAAGGACCCTCCCAAAAATTCAACCAAAACACACCTTCCTGTCCTTCTCGTTGGCCTTGAACTCGTCGGCCAGCTGGTCCAGCTTCTCTATACACCCTGGCAGACCCAAGTACAAACTGGTCTTCTTCTTGATGAACCTCTTGATATTGTTCGCGGTGAACTCGTCGTCCTTCTCGGCGACGAACCTGTACGGCTCCTTCCTCCCGTTGACGAACAGCAGGAGCGTAGGGTAGTCGTCCGGCTTGATGCCGAACCGCTTGGCCAGGTCCTGGTTGTCCTTGTTACCAAAGTCCTTGACGCCCACCTCCGCTATCAGGAGGTCCGGCGAGTCCTTCGTGCTCACGGCCACGTCCGTGTACTCTTTGTGCTTGTCGCCGTAGGGGTACACGACGTCGAACTTCACCAGCACGGCTTTGAATTTCGGGAGAATCTGGAAGGTGACACGTCCGTTCAATTGCGTGTGGGATACTCGTGTGAATCACGTGGATTGTATGGACTAGGGTTTAACGCGTCTACATTTATTAGGACTAAAAATTTAGGAGTTGAAGTGTAGTGTCGGAAATGGGCGTCATCCCCATTACCAAATTTTAAAGACATTTATCTTTATTCGTTTTGTTCGTCCAAGGGGTAAATTATTTCATTGTGATGATTTAGCAGATGTTTCTAATGGTTTTTTTTTCCTCATAAAAATAATATAAAATTTTTAGTTTACAATTTTTTTCTCTCTCTCTACAAAGTGTTCATTTTTTTCCGTTGCAGGCTTTCTCGTGTTAGTATTTTTAGGTATACGTTATATATATTATGTAAATCAAACATTGATGTATTGCTATCATGATTCTATACTCTTCCTTTGTACATAATAAATTTACACCGACAAAAAAAGCAAATGGTTTTGTATGAAGAGCTACTAGGCTGTAGTATCGAACAATAATTTTTTTACTATTTTTATTTTTCGAAAATCGAGCACTTTTTCAAAGTTAAAAATTTATTTCTGGTTGTAAGATAATAAACATAATTGAAATGAACTGTTACGTGAGGAAACGGTGGCTTCGGGTGCGCGCAAGATAACAAGAACGTTTTATATTTGACAATCATTTTTTTACTTATATTGGTGAGGGTAGAGTGTATACCAACCGACTCTTACTGGCTACTCACCTAAACCCACGTACCAATCTAAGTACTAATTAAAAATTTTTTAGGATTACTTAATTTACGTAACTACATGTAAACGTTATTAACTTTTATGTGTACTCTCCTATAAATGTGCAGTCTTTATTGAGCAATAAAAAACAAACAAAAACAACAGAAAGGTAAGGTATACAAATATGAGTACCCTATATGTGAAAAGTTATGTTAGCATTCCTACTTATTTTTGTTTCTCTACAATATTTCAATAATTTTAAGGTAGACGTAGAAGACTCAATCATTCAATTAATTTTTTAAGTATAATAATATGTAATTAAAATATGTTGAAGGGCCCTTTTTTTTGCTACGAAATTTATTTATGATTTGAAGGAAAAATTACTGACTTTGGTAGTTGAAATTGAATAACAGTTCATGAGTTAATTATTGTCTAATAGTTGGCTTAATTTAAAGTTTTGCACACGAATTACTATGATTGAATTAAAAATACTAAATTTATTTAGATATCTTCTACGATGGTTGTATTTATTCAGTTGTAAAATAAAATAACAATAATACTAATAATAATGGTGATGATAATGTTATAAGTTCTAAATAATTACCTTCCAAAAAAATAAATTTTAATTAGTTTGTAGTAATACTAATACTACAAAACATTTATAATACAGAGAGTTATTTTTTAAAGAATTTTTTTCAGTTCGCAAGGAATTGATGTTATAACAACAACTAATTGAATTTGTACAATAATAATTAATTTACTGTTTTTTATTGTTTTTAATAATGTATGTTTTGATATCAACACAATTATTTTCTTTCTTTAATT